CCCATAACCAGAAAGATGATCATGGTATGTACTCACTCATAGGTGAATAGTCGCTGTAAAGCAAAGGTTAACAAGCCTGTAGTCCGTGACCCTTGAGAAAGGCTAAGCAACAAGGAGAACCCTAAGAGAAACATGCATAGATCTCTCTTGGAAGGGGAAATAGATGAGATCTCCAGAGAAAATTGGGAGAATTGGTGTGGACAGGGAAAAAAAGAAGGTGGAAGGGGACAAGGAGGAGAGAAAGGGCGAGAACTAGAGGGAACGGATAGTCGAGATGGGGGAAGGACAGAGATGGAGAACAAGGAAAGAGATATCTTTTTTTATTAAAAATTTTCACCTCGTCTCCTTCTCCCACTTCCCTCCCCTCCCCTCCCCCCACTCTCCCTCCCCCTTCTTCTCCAGGCCAAAGAGCAGTCAGGGTTCCCTACCCTATGGGAAGTCCAAGGGCCTCCCCACTCCCCCCAGGTCCAGGAAGGTGAGCATCCAAACAGACAAGACTCCCACAAAGCCTATCCATGCAGTGGCATCAAAGCCCAGCGCCACTGTCCTTAGCTTCTCAGTCAGCCTCCACCATCAGCCACGTTCAGAGAGTACGGTTTGATCACATGCTCCATCAGCTCCATTCCAACTGTCCTTGGTGATCTCCCATTAGATCTGTCCCACCCTCTCAGTGGGTGAACGCACCCCTCATGGTCCTGACTTCCTTGCTCATGTTCTCCCTCCTTCTGGTCCTCATTTGGACCTTGGGAGCTAAGTCCCGTGCTCCAGTGTGGGTCTCTGTCTCTATCTCCATCCATCACCAGATTAAGGTTCTATGGTAATATGCAAGATATTCATCAGTGTGGCTTTAGGACAAGGCCAGTTCAGGGCACCCTTTCATCTGCTGCTCAAAGATCAAGCTGGGGTCATCTCCTTGGACCTGGGAACCCCTCTAGAGTCAAGTCTCTTGCAAACCCAAAAATGGCTCCCTTAGTTGAGATCTTTACTTCCCTGCTCCCCACATCCACCCCTCCTTCATCCCAACCATCCCATTCCCTATTCCCTCAAACTCTCCCCATCATTCCCCTCTCCCTTCTCTCCCCTGATCTCCCCTTACCCATACCTCACCCCCATCCCCGTGCTCCCAACCCCTGCCCGGCAATTTTGTCAACTTCCAATAACCAGGAGGATAACTGTATGTTTTTCTTTAGGTTCACCTTCTTATTTAGCTTCTCTTGGATCACGAATTATAGGCTCAATGTCCTTTATTTAAAGCTAGAATCCATTTATGAGCGAGTACATACCATATTCCTCTTTTGGGGTCTGGGTTACCTCACTCAGAAAAGCGTTTTCTGTTTCCATCCATTTGCATGCAAAATTCAAGATGTCATTGTTTTTCCTGCTGAGTAGAACTCTAAAGTGTATATGTGCCACACCTTCTTTATCCATTCTTCTAATGAGGGACACCTAGGTTGTTTCCAGGTTCTGGCTATTACAAACAGTGCTGCTATGAACATAGTTGAACAAATGCTTTTGTGGTATGATGGGGCATCTCTTGGGTATATTCCCAAGAGTGGAATTGCTGGATCCTGAGGTAGGTTGACTCCCAGTTTTCTGAGAAACCACCACACTGATTTTCAAAGTGACTGCACAAGTTTGTATTCCCACCAACAATGGATGAGTGTTCCCCTCACTCCACACCCTCTCCAGCATAGGTTATCATTGGTGTTTTTGATTTCATCCATTCTGACAGGTGTAAGATGATCTTACAATATCTCAGAGTTGTTTTGATTTGCATTTCCCTGGTCACTAAGGAGGTTGAGCATGACCTTATGTGTCTTTTGTCCATTTGAAGTTCTTCTGTTGCGAATTCTCTGTTCAGTTCAGTGCCCTATTTTTTAATTGGGTTAATTAGTATTTTAAACTCTAGTTTCTTGAGTTCTTTATATATTTTTGAGATCAGACCTTTGTCTGATGTGTGGTTGGTGAAGATCTTCCCCCAGTCAGTAGGTTACCTTTTTGTCTTAATGACAGTGTCTTTTGCATTACAGAAGCTTCTCAGTTTCAGGAGGTCCCATTTATTAATTGCTGCTCTTAATGTCTGTGCTACTGGGGTTCTACATAGGAAGAGGTCTCCTGTGTCCATGTGTTGTAGACTACTTTCCACTTCCTCTTCTATCAGATTCAGTGTGGTCAGATTAATATTGATGTCTTTACTCCATTTGGACTTGAGTTTTGTGCATGGTGATGATATCTTGATTGAGGGAGCCATTGTGGTACCAACAAGAAACCTAGCACTAGAAAAATTCCCAGGAATCTAGAAGGATGATCCTAACTAAGACCCTAAGCATAGTGGAGAGGGTACCTGAACTGACCTTGCCCTGTAGTCAGTATTATAACTATCTTAAATGCCATCCAAATTGAAGCTGATGCAGAGATTCACAGCAGAACATTGGGCTGAGCTCCCAAAGTCCATTCAAGCAGAGAGAGGAGTGAGAATACAAGCAAAGAGTTCAAGACCATGATGGGGATACCAACTGAAGCAGCTTACCTAAGCTAATGGAAACCTTCCAGCTCTGGCCTTACAGCTAGGGAAACAGCAGAGGACTAAACTACCTTTTTCCTTCCTCTCTTCCTACTGTCTCTCTCTCTCTCTCTCTCTCTCTCTCTCTCTCTCTCTCTCTCTCTCTCTCTCTTCTTCCCTCCCTCCCTCACTCTCTCCCTGTGTGTGTGTGTGTGTGTGTGTGTGTGTGTGTGTGTGTGTCCATGAATACAGATACCTGAGAAGGATAGAAGCATGGAATTTCCTGGAGCTAGAAAGCTAGAATTATAGGTGATTGGGAGCAATCTCCTCTTCTGTGCACTATGACAACTCAGATCCCCTGCTGAGTCATCTCCACAGAACAAGCATATGTGTTCTTTAAGTCTCAAGGTGTTTGAACATTTGTTGAATCGAAACTGTCAACTTTTGGGGTGTTTCATCCCTGTTGGAGACACGTGCAGAGATAGTGAAAATCAAGGGCCATATTTGTCTTTAAGTGAATATTATTGATGTTAAAATATTAGTACCATAATAAGGCACAGAGCTGCAGAATTGTGAGAATTCCACATGAGTTGTTTAAGATGGCTAGAAGAGCAATACACAGTAGTCATCTAAAACTGCGTAGGAAACAAGCTGAAAGCACAACAAGCAAAGCCTGCATGTGTTAGAATCCAGACAGAGGTCCTCTAAATCAGACGTTTATGGGGTTGAAAGAATTTCCACATGTGTGCAATTCCAGGAAGAAAGTTGCCAAAAATTAGTTCAGACTGGCTGGAGCAAGAAGCAGCTGCTTATTGTTCAAGTCAATTTCCACTTACACAAGGGAATTTGGATTCTGAGGCCAATGAAACCCGTTTAAACGCCCCAAGCAGATTAAATGCATTTCTAAATACTTTGTTTTTATTGTCTTAATTTTTCCTAGTTTTTCAATTCTAAATGACTTAGAATATAATGCAGGCTACATATATTTTAGGGTTCTTTTTATTTACATAATTTTATTCTCATAATTATCCAGCAGAGGCTCAATTCAGTGTTGTATTCTATCCACACAACTTTTAGTTTTCAGTATCTAAGACTTTGTGCTACCAAGGAGGCTGTCTGTTGTGCATTCAATTTTTCTATGATCTCACTTTGTCTAATTTTTTAATAATGGGAATATATCACATTATAAACACTCAGTTTATTATTTTTAAATACTGCATATATTTTTTCAAATTATTTATCCCTCAATCTCCATTTGCTTATTATTTTGCAGGATTCCGAGGTTAATTTTAATATCTTCAATATTTGTAATCTATTTCTCAACAGAGCTGTTTTGTATGTAATTGAAAATGAATACAGTTTCTTTTTCTATTTTCAGTGTCTTAGTGTGTACTTTATTTCCATTTTTTGATTGATTCAAATTATACAAAGCAAAATATTTTAGGTCAATTTCTTTGACCTAGATAGTGTACAGTAAAATTAATAGCATACTTTATACTTACTGCATCAATATCTTGGTTTTAAATTCCGCTTTGATGAGTCAGGAATTAATCTGACATGTATCTTCTATTTCTCAAGCATACTTGCACATTTTTTCCCAACAGACCAAAGGTTTGAATTTCTGTCTCACTGAGAATCTTCGATATCTTCTGACAGTGAGGCCTGCGTTACCTCTCCTAGTGCTGGTATCTAACAAGCTTCATCCATGTCATCTATTATCTTGAAATTCAGTTCACATCAATGACATTTGATAATTTGCCATTCTTGCTTTGGAATTTGAGGATCCATTCTACAGTAACTGTTACATTATACTTTGAAGACAACATTGTAAGATTTGGATTAGAGTGTGAGCTGTGAGCAATATACTTTTGTAATTACCATATTTTTCATCAGCAGAATGGTTAAAGCTGAAGATAAAAAAAAATTCTCTCTTTTCTTTCATGTTCCTCTTTCTTTCACTCGAATACCAACATACACAAAAACTCCCACAGTATTAACAACAATCTATTAGAAGAATAATAAAGTATTTGAATATTTGAAAAGCTGGAATATTAATCCTGCTTAATTAGGGTTTTGGCAGCCTGTTTCATCTGCAGTATGAGTAACTGAAAAATAAAACTAGGCTAGAACAATTGTTTAAAAATTTCATTTGGATGGCGTGCATTGGTATTGATCATCACTGGGGTTTCTATTTGATCTATGCTCTGTTCCTTAGTGAGATTTCTTCATGAGCTGTGTTTTAACTAAAGAAAAATGTACATCTTTCATTTTATCAGCAATAATGATATTAGGGAACTAAATGACTGTCCATCTATATTTATTTATGTACCTATCAATTGTCTACAATAAATTTTTTGCAGTGTTTCACACTCAGAAGGTGTCATTGTAACTTATTTGTAGTAATAACAAAGCTCAGTGATAATTTTACAAGAAATTGTGATAGAATAGGAAATGAGCTTTAAGAGAAAAAGTCTATTAAAATACATAAACAAGAGCCATTGCAGTACATTGAGCTCCATAGAGACAGCGCCGGGGCAAGCGAGAGCCGGACGGGCACTGGGCGACTCTGTGCCTCACGGACGAAAATCCACTAAACATGGGCAAAGGAGATCCTAAGAAGCCGAGAGGCAAAATGTCCTCGTATGCATTCTTTGTGCAAACTTGCCGGGAGGAACACAAGAAGAAGCACCCGGATGCTTCTGTCAACTTCTCAGAGTTCTCCAAGAAGTGCTCAGAAAGGTGGAAGACCATGTCTGCTAAAGAAAAGGGGAAATTTGAAGACATGGCCAAGGCTGACAAGGCTCGTTATGAAAGAGAAATGAAAACCTACATTCCCCACCCCCAAGGGGTGACCAAAAAGAAGTTCAAGGACTCCAATGCACCCAAGAGGCCCCCTTCGGCCTTCTTCTTGTTCTGTTCTGAGTATCGCCCCAAAATCAAAGGAGAACACCCTGGCTTATCCATTGGTGATGTTGCAAAGAAACTGGGAGAGATGGGGAACAACACTGCTGCAGATGACAAGCAGCCCTACGAACAGAAGGCTGCCGAGCTGAAGGAGAAGTACAAACAGGAGATTGCTGCCTACAGAGCTAAAGGAAAACCCGATGCAGCGAAAAAGGGGGTGGTCAAGGCGGAAAAGAGCAAGAAAAAGAAGGAAGAGGAAGATGAGGAGGAGGATGAAGAGGATGAAGAGGAAGATGAGGAGGAGGAAGAAGAGGAAGATGAAGATGAGGAAGAAGATGATGATGATGAATAAGTTGGTTCTAGCGCAGTTTTTTTTCTTGTCTATAAAGCATTTAACCCCCCGTACACAACTCACTCCTTTTAAAGAAAAAAAATTGAAATGTAAGGCTGTGTAAGATTTGTTTTTAAACTGTACAGTGTCTTTTTTTGTATAGTTAACACACTACCGAATGTGTCTTTAGATAGCCCTGTCCTGGTGGTATTTTCAATAGCCACTAACCTTGCCTGGTACGGTCCAGGGGTTGTAAATTGACATGGAAATTTAAAGCAAGTTCTTGTTGGTGCACTGCACAAATTAGTTATATATGGGGACGGTAGTTTTTTTTTTGTTTGTTTGGGTTTTTTTTTTGGTTTGTTTTTGTTTTTTTTTTCATCTTCAGTTGTCTCTGATGCAGCTTATATGAAGATAATTGTTGTTCTGTTAACTGAATACCACTCTGCAATTGCAAAAAAAAATTGCAGCTGTTTTGTTGACATTCTGAATGTTTCTAAGTAAATACAATTTTTTTATTAAAAAATACATAAACAATATTGCCTATGTCTATAAAATAATGTAGACAGTGTGTTGACATGAGGTTTGAACAAGAAAGGTGTTTTAACATATACTGAGATGTTTTTCACTTTAATTTATATTAACAATTAATGTGATGAAGAAGGATTGAACTTTTTGAAGGTGATTGACCAAAGGGATTTAAAAGGTATCCCTACTTCTTTTTCTTCCCAGAATATAAACTCCAGATATTTTCTAAGTGAAATATGGAGTAATGGATTGTATGACAATGTATCCTTAGAAATTTCTGAAGAATCTTTCTTCATGAATTTGGATACACAGGATTTCTTAAAGAATACCCAAGATATACCATGTTTAATCAGAAACATTATATTCTGGAATATATTAAAGTTCTCTCTTTTTCAAAAATATAACACATTAAAAGACTAAGTGAATGTCACAATATGGGTGGAAATATTTTCAAAATTCATAGAGATTAAAATCCATTATTGAATATGCAATCAAGTAAATAAGTGATTGTGTCAACCTCAGAATGAAACAGAAAAGCAGGAAAAAGACAGGAAAAAACAGAAAAAGAAAAAACACAAATATGGATATTTATATATAGGAATATCAAAATTAATGAATTAAAATATGAAATTTGCTAAAACTGCTTTGTCAACAGAATAGCATAAATTAAAACAATGTTTCCATGTTACTATTGACCTACAGAATGTGTGTAAATAAAATAGTAAAGCAGCTATAACTGGGAGCAAATCCCTCTATGATGGAAGATCCAAGTAGCACAGAATTTTATTGGTATAATTTCTCCCTTCTCTGTGCTCAGAACCACTTTGTCATGTATGTTCAAGAAACTGCTCCTTCGAGATTTCTGTGGGCATTTATTGTCAAAAGGCAAAATAGTAGAAGAAGACTAGTGAAGCGGATTATGGCCCCTGCTGCTGCAGTTAGTTGTCGGAAGGCAATTGATACTCATCGTTAACCTTTTCCACTGAAAAGTCTGTGTTTATTTTCCCCTAAGCCACAATCTCGCTCATCATCAGTGACTTTTCTCGTAATAGAATCCCCAAGAGAGCTGCCAATCTTATTCAGCATCTGCTGGCAAGCATGTGGAGCCCCAGGAAATCTCAGTCATGCTGATGGGGATGTAAAATGGCACAGCCACTTTTGAGGATGCTGTCATGACTTTCCTGAACCTAAACACACTTTGAGAAAAAATACCAGCAGTCATGTTCCTTAGTATTTAGCCAAATGAGTTATAAACCAGACAACATGATATACATGATCGTATATAAAATTTTTATTTAGTATTGCTAAACATTGAAGGTAATCAAGATATCCTTCACTAGGCAAACATGTAGATTATATAATATTAAAATCAGATAACGGAATATGATCAGTGCTATAATAAAATGAACCACCAGTGTTACTTAGAATCTGATTGGAGTCCTGTTGTTCTGTTTTTGGTATAAATCAGTAATACAGAAAGAATACTTTTTTTTTAACCGTGGTAGTCATGGGTCCTTTGATGCCAAAGATTTACAGGCCAAGCTGACTACTCAGACAGAAGCTTATAGCTCCAAGCCTTGAGAAGTAGAGACGTCTGTGCCAAGGCTTATACGCTGGGTACTAACATTGGAGTTTATGGTTCTGGCTTCTCAGTGCCAGAGCTCTTGGCTCTAAGGAGCAGCTATCCTCTTCAGCAGTCAGCAACTTTCGGTGCCAGCTCGCATTGCAGCTTCGAAGCTGTGGATGCCAGGATGCTGTGCCTTTATTTAAACCTTGGCAGTGCTTAGGCAGGAGCCTGCAATCTTTTGCTTACCGCCTTCCACATTCAGTGGTCTTGGCTCTCAGAATTCTCTCACCCTTTCTGTACTTCCACTGTCTAAGTCACCTCTGCTGCATTTGCTCCTGGCTGCTTCTGTCACTGGCCACTCAGCACCTCTTTGACATTCCTCCTGCAACCACTGCTGATGTCTGATGCCTCATCGCTTCTTGTTACCAAGAAGCCTGCTCCATTTATGATAAGAACCACAAGGAGCAAAGAAAGGAGCACTTCACAGAAGTTTATTGTTCAGTCAGATGTTGAAATACCAGGGGACAGTCCAGGAAGATGCTTCCTGGCTAACTGCCAAACTGAGTTTCACAGCCTCATAATATATCCTTTAAGGGAGGGGTCATGATAGGTGTGAAGTTGCAGAGAAGCATTGTATGTATACCAACTGATGTATATCACTTCAGTCTACCAATCAGACACATCTCACTGTGTTCCTAAGAGGGTTATCTCCTTTCCACCTTGAGTGATATGGTTGATATAACTTTATAGTTATCTAAAATTCACTGTGATTTGCTTAAATGTTGGTATAGGTTACCTGCTGCAGTAGGGACTTCAATAAAGAATCCTAGGGCTGCAATCCTGGTTATATCTGGGGTGGCCTTTAAGCTGAAGTGTTGTCTGTGGGTTTATAAAATGTCCATAACAGCTGGGATTCCATAAAAACCCTTGCCACTGAAGAAGCCATATTGCCTGACAATTCCTGTCTCCAGGTTATTCAAAGCCAGGATGGTCAGTGCAGCCATGAAAATCAAATATGTCCTTTTTTTTAAAAACAAAAAAGAAGCCAGTTCTCTCTCTCTCTCTCTCTCTCTCTCTCTCTCTCTCTCTCTCTCTCTCTCTC